GAATGTGGTGTAGCATTATCTCCCTTTGTAACACGCTTTAATGTCAAATCCAGTAGGTACTGCTTTGGTACCATTTTCATCAGCTTGCATCTTTTTTACCACTCTTAAAAGATAATATTTACAGATCTACCTGGATCAATCAAAACTCGTTTCACATTAGTATCATGTACAAGTAAAGGTATTACCAGTGCATCATTGTGTGGGATTATCACACCATCTGCATCTTTATCATCAAATGTTATACTGTCTTCTTCCAAAACTTGGCGAACTCGCTTTCCGTGGGTAACTGTGACTTTTGACACCTTTTTTGCAGCCGTATATGTCACACCGTTGACCCCCTCTCCTCCGCTTATCACGTTAACCATTCTTTTCGGTGATGGAGGTTTTGGTGGCTCCTGTCTATTCTTCATATATGCTTGCTTACCCTTATCACTAAACAAATCGGTTAAATAACCTTGTTTTAACAAGTGCTCTACTTCATCTTGTAGCAATCTGCAATCTGCTGTTTTATGACCGTGTTCATTATGAAACTTGCACCAGAAATCTGGGTTTCTTCTGCTGGGGTTCGATCTTATTTCTTTTGGACACCGCACCTTATCTCCCATGCTTCTTAAAACAGCTACCAACTCAGATCTGCTAACATTGAAATTCTAACCACCAATCTTTGCTTTTGTACTAATGTTGTTGTCCCGCGTATCTCGCTTCTTTCCAAACTTGGATGACGAACCCGCATCTTTGTCCCTTGATCTGGAATCGTACCTCGGGTTCTCCTATTTAGAACGTGAATCCCTTCCCGTTGGTCCCATGTAAGGTTCGTACCTATTCTTACCGGACCTTTTTTCAGTTTCTGGTCTCCTCGAACTTATTCTTTCGTCTCCCCGTAACTGAGTGATAGTATTTTCTTCTATCCGCAACTTCGTGCTATACCTGTTGTAAACATCATTCCAAGTTGTTGCAGGGAATTCTCGTAAACTTTCTTTGAGTCTCCTCATGGCTTCTAAGCATTTTTCATTTAAGTTACTTGGAAACGCCATGGCCGCCCATTATCCGGTACACGTGGTAGCATCATCCTTTCACGCTGAAATCTATCCACAAATTCCCTGAGTAGCTCCGTATCTCCTTATTTTATTTTGAAGATTTCTTCTATACTCTTTTCAATTTTTTGAGCTCCCGAGTGTGCTTTTATAAATGAATCTGCAAGCTCATCAAAAGAATCAATATAATTTTTTGGTAAAAGAGAATAGCATGTCAGTGCTCCTTTTGTGACTGTTTCGCCAAATCTTTGACCAGCACTGACTCAATTTCTTGCTTGATCAAGTCGTTGCCCTTCACGCCAGTTGTAAATGCAGTTACATGATCTCGTGGGTCAGTTGTCCTATCATACTTTAGAATATCGGGCATCTTAAACTTTTTTAGAATAGGCAAAGGAGCGGCACTTGGCTTCCAGGGTTGTTGAGAATATTTATCAATATCCACTCCTTTAATCATGGGTGGCACACCAGGTATCTGCTCTATGCGATCGTTCTGCTCCTTGAGCTGTTTTTGCAAAGTTAGTATTAAACTTTGTAAATCAGAATTATTTGGAATACCTGACCTTCCATCGCGAGATTCGCTAGGACTTCCTCCACTACCTGAATTAGCAAGTCCCGAGCGTGGATTTTCTATGGTTGCGGTATTAATTGGAGGTGGAGTTGGTGGTACAGTTGGCAACCCACTAACAAAAGCTTGAAGAGCATTGTTGACGTGCTCTGCAATTAGTTGCTTCAATGCATCTTCAGCAGTTTGATTTTTCCCTTGTTGGTCATTCACAGGTGATGTTGATCTGTCAGGTGACCCTTCTCGGGAGCGTTGAGGAGAATTTTGGGGTGAATGGATTGGAGTTTCATTCTCTTGTTGATTCTGTTGGTTCAGCTGATTTTGCTGGTTTTCTTGGTTGTTATCGTTAGCGGTCGACATGATTTTTTGACAGAAAAATGAATTTGGATAGTGAAAAGATTATCAGATTTCCGGTAACGGAACCTGATAATCTTAAGAAGTACTCGGGCTACTGATAATCAAGAAATTCTATATTCTCTTAGTGATAAGAAAGGAAATTAGAATGTGAAATAGTAAAGTGATCAATAGAAAGCAAAATAAAGTAATTATATTTCAATAATAATCAGAACGTCCCTTTACAAGTGAAATCCCCTTCCCTTATATAGGAATCTATAAGTATAACGTTTCTTCCCTTTTATGACTGAATCTTATGAACATTAATGATATTAATGAGACGTTATAATTGTCAATCGTAGATGTTTATGAAGATTCTATAAAGTCTATGATCATTCATGAATATTAATTGACGATTCATGAATCTTCATTCTGCCGGTGTCTCTTCATATAGCAATTCAGACTCGAGCGACCATACCCCTTTTATCTCGTGGGTGATTTGCCCGTACCTATTTCGACTCATGCTTATTTTAATGCATCTCTCCAGTTGTCGCTTTCTTAGTGATTCACGTGTCTTGCCACATCAGCCACACATATAAATCCACGTGTAATATTTATTTTCACCAATACAAGGCCAAACCCGCACGATGTTCTCCAAAAGGCTTTACATCATTAACAGATCTCTACACCTTATATGTAGGTCCCAATCTTTTCAGGTACAAATGTGATACTTTGTTCGTATACCCAACAAAGCAATATACGGATAATCATTAATTGGTTTTAAGTTATACATCCTAAGCTTCCTTAAATATGAGATTTAATCCGTAATATTCAAAATAAGATAGGTTATCTGCTACAACATATAAAAGTGATCTGATGTACAAAAATTCCTTGCGCTAGTGGTGCATAAAACTTAAAACTCTAACTAATTTAGTAGGTGAGCTTATAATATTTGGTTTTGGTTGTAAGTTAACCATGTAAATTGCTAAAAGAATGAAAGCAAAAATTTATGTTTTCTTCCTACCAAATTTCTCTCATACTGTTGGTCTAATAGGCTAGTTGAAACTTGATAAGCTGGAAATATTGAATCATAACGAAAGGGGCTGAAGTATTCAAGATGAGTACGTTGTACTAACTACCTAGTGGAAAAAAGGTAAAATAAATAAAACTATGGAAGTACAAAAAAACATGCCTCAGCATAGTACTCATGATTATAGTGGAGTCCATAATCGAAATGTGGTTCTTTTTGACTTAAAATACTTTTTTGAGTGTAAAAAAAAAGTTATCATTCTATATAAAATGCGGTTATGAATCGCGTTTTATCTTAACGGCTGTTTGGGACGTTAAGGTAAAGCATGGTTCATTACTGCGTTTTATATAAAACGCAGTTGAATACCGCACTTTACTGGAAGCTGATAAGATAACTATATAAAGCGCGGTTCATTACTGCGTTTTATATAAACGCAGTTAGAAATCGCATTTTATATACATAAATAATATATCCCCTTCCCTTTCCCCCACGTTTCTGCCCAGCACCTTCCCCCTTCCCCTTTAAAAAAATACAACGGACCCCCCTCCATTAACGTCCCAAAAAGCTCGTGTGGACCCCACCCATCCCGTAAAAAGTAGATATTGTTGGTCCTACATCCTAGCCAAGCCTTCTATTGTTGTGGGTTGCTTGTTTCGGAGTCAAATTTTTAAATCTCCATCTTTCCGAAAAACATAAGTCGAGTTATTCCGATTTAGTTTATGTCCAAACTCGTATAAATAATGCATATTAGTTGCTTTGAATGTGTTGTATGTTGTTTTGTGTTTTTTTTTTGCGATAAAATTGGTATGTTATTTTTATCCGGACTAAGATATTAATGTTGTAAAAAAATATGTAAAAATTGTGAAATCGTTATTATTTGTTAATAAAAATGTTAATAAATTACTATTACTGTTTTATATGTATTTTTGTGATTACAATGTATTTGTTGTATTTTATCTGGTTTAAATTATTTATTTGTTTAAAGACTAGTAATATAGTGCCTTTTAGGGTAGTAAAATGTGATTCCTTTTAGCGTAGTAAAATGTAGTTCCTTTTAGTGTAGTAAAATGTATTGCCTTTTACCGTAGTTTTCCAGTAGTTTAAGTATCTCTTATACTAAAAAAAATGTCAAAATAGCTGATAGATCAAACACAAACTCTGTCCTATTATAGTCAACATATAATTGGTGTTACTGGCCGCAAATATCGAGCCTGGAACCCACATATGAATATTTAATAATTAAGTATTTTATAATTATTAAAATTAATTATTTAATTTACAAAGAAACATGTAAAATTATAAAACTAGCATGTAAAATAATAAAACTAACACATAGAAGAATTCAGGATAAATTGGTGCTACTGGGCCGCATATATCGAGGCTGGAACCCATATGTGAATATTTAATTATAAAAATTAATTATTTAATTTACAAACAAACATATAAAATTATAAAACTAACACATAGAAGAATTCAGGATAAATTGGTGCTACTGGGCCGCAAATATCGAGCTTGGAACCCATATGCGAATTTTTAATTATAAAAATTAATTATTTAATTTACAAACAAACATATAAAATTATAAAACTAACACATAGAAGAATTTAGGATATCGTGGTGCTACTTGGCCGCAAATATCGAGTCTGGAACCCATATGTGAATATTTATTTATAAAACTTTATTATTTAATTTACAAACTAACATATAAAATTATAATAAAACTAACACAGAGAAAAATTTAGGACATCTTGGTGCTACTGGGCCTCAAATATCGAGCCTAGAACCCTTATGTTTTAAAATTCATAATTAAATATTGAATAATTATAAAATTTAATTATTTAATTTACAAATAAACATATAAAATTATAAAACTAACATGTAATTAATGTTGTTTAATTTACAATAGACGACATGGAGGTGCCGCCTATTCATCCCGGACCTTCTAGCGATGAGCTACTCTCATTACGGGGCGACCATAGGTCCGCCCACATATGGGAGGGTGAGTTAGTGACCTAGACTCTTCGCGCCAAGAGAGTGGACGACATGTGGGACTTTCTGCATGACAGAGTTCTCCATGATCGTGTAGTCACACGCCTGCGGGAGACCGATTTCTACAGGATTTTGGAGATCGGGCGGCTGCAGCTCGATTGGTCTTTGGTCACGGCCCTGATAGAGCGGTGGCAACCGGAGACGCACACATTCCACTTGCCCATTGGTGAGGCCACCATCACACTGTAGGACGTGGAGGTTTTATATGGGCTGCGCGTTGATGGACTGCCCATTGCTCTCCCGCCTGGCATGAAAGAGATGAGACGTGTGCAGTACCTGGACATGCTGCAGCGGCTCACTGCTTTCTTCCCCCTTCACCGAGATGGCTGGATACTGAGCATGATTACATGGTTGGTACCGCGGCGTTACCCGACTTATCATCGGGAATCCCGTTCATCGACCGGGAGGCACGAGGCACTGGTATGTTATTTAGTATTCTTACTTATAAATGTGGTCTAGCGTACTGTAATTTATATTTTACATGTTGTGCAGGCTATTGGCCTACATTTAGTCCACCAATTAGGATAACAGATGCAGCAGCACGCTGGCGATCCTGCGGTCGCTTTGCAGGAGTATGGCCGGTAGGTTACAAAGCTG